TTTTCTGTATAAACTTTAGATTCATTGGAATTGCATTGAATCTATAGACCAAGTTGTGAAGAAGTGACATCTTAATTTCAGTCTTGCTATCCATGAACATGGAATATTCTTTCAATTACTTAAATCTTTATTTTCTTTCATCAGTGTTTTATAGTGATGTGCTTTTTTATTTTAATTGTTCATAGCTAATATATAGGAAATCAATTGACTATTATGTTTAGGTGTATACTATAATTGTTACTGAGTTCCAGAGATGATGTCAATTCTTTGAGATTTTCTGCATATACAATTGTATTAGTCAATTTTGCATTTCTATAATAATATTCCTGAGGCAAGTTAACTTCATAACTGTTGAGCTTACAGTTTTGGAGTCTGCAAATACAAATAACACAATACAGACTCTTACAGGAGCTAGCTTTGGTTGCATCACCTCATGGCATATGACAATGATAACAGTGACGGAAATTCATATCTGTCTGTGTCTGTACATCTGATCCCCCTGTTCTTTTCTTATGAAGTCACCGGGATTCAATCTTGTCAGCTACACCACAATGACCTTGTCCAAACCTAACCATTGTCTAAAGACAGTACCTGCATAAAATTTCCACCTTCCTAATACCATTTAATATATAACCTTGGGCATTAAACTAATGCGTGAGCTTGAGGGCACAAACAATATTCAGATCATAGCAATAACCATCTCGTCTGTAAAAGAGACATTTTATCTCTTCATTTTGGATATTTATTTCTCATTTTGCCTTACTGCATTGGCTAGGCCTTCTGGTAAGGTATTGAATAGGAAGAGTGAAAGAATGTTTTCCAACTCTTGAGGAAAACATTTGTTTATCACTAAGTATGATGTTAGTCTAGTCGTAGGTTTTTGTTTTTTGTTTTTTTTGTTTTTTTTTGTTTTTTTACAGATATTCTTTGTCAAAGCACCCCTGTTGAGACTTTTATCACAAAGGCATATTGGTTTTTGAGGAGCACTATTGCCTTTTTAGAAAAAAAAAAAGTTTATTATTTTCATCTGCTTGAAATGCTGGAGTGGGGATGGGAGTGATCTTCCATCTGCTGGTTCACTACCCAAATGCCCACAGCAGCCAAGGCCGGGCCAGTCTGAAGCCAGGAGCCAGGAGCTTCTTCCAGGTCTCCCACATCAGTGACAGGAACTCAATCATTTAAGCCATCATCTGCTGCCTCCCAATACATTCACAGGGAGCTCCTGCATCATAAACAGAGTAGCTGGGACTGGAACCAGTATGCTGATATGGAATGTGGGTATCCCAAGCAACAGTTTAACCTACTGTGGCCATAATGCCTGCCTCTCAAAGGCTTTTTCTGCAACTATTAATATGATCATATAAATTTTCTTCTTCGGTTTATTGATATGTAGAGCTAAATCTACTGTTTTCCAGATGTTGAGCCAGCTTTGCAAAAAGGCTGGGGAAAAAAAATCCTACTTTGTTATATGCATTATGGAATTTGACTTGCTGGTGTATTTAGAGCATTCACATTTAAAGTACTTATTGATACAGTTGCATTAATATCTACCACATTTCCCATTATTTTCTATTGATTTTTTTACTTGTTTCTTCTAAAGAATTATTTTATTTATTTGAAAGTCAGAGTTTCAGAGAAAGATTCCATCTACCAGTCCACTCCCCTTCTTTGAAGAACTTCTGTTAGCATTTTTTGGATGGCAGGACTATTGACAATGCAAATTATATAGTGTTTGCTAAGATAGCAGATATGGAATCAGAAGATAAGTAACTTGCCTTATGCTCATTTTGTGGTTGAGTCAGGACTAGAATCTGACTAGACCTAGTGCTGGCCACAGGGCCCTGATTCTATTACAAGATCTCTTTTTTAATGTCACAGGCAAGCTGCCTACTTGTGTTTGTTGAGACAGGTCCAGTTTCGATTTTACTTCTATCAAAACACTCCCTATTACTGCACAGCTATATATCCTACTCTGTTACATTTGTGATTTTTTTTTTCCCACAAAAAAAGCATAATTACAGACAGGGAGAATGGGAGTGATAGAAACGTGGCTTGTTACTATAGAAACAGATATGTTACAGAGGTGATGCTCTGAGTAGGTATGAATAAAGGTCTAAGATATATAGAAAAAATAAATCAATGTATCATAAAGGTTACAGAACTCAATGGGGGTTACTGCGTTTGTGAGGATACTTGCATCTAGTACAGCATAGCTCCAGCTCTCTGACATTTTCTCTCTTGAAACTGGAAGATCACAGTGACCTAAAGCAAAAGCAATGGGCATTACAGATATTGAGCCAGGGTTTAAAGGCCTATGTTGAAAATCATAAGACTAGTTTACTGACCTTGGTGAGCTCTGTTAGAATAAAGACAAAACTCCTGTACTTCTGAGTTGCTATACTCATTAGCACTTGTGGGAAATGCAATGCAGTCTATATGACAATCTTGTGTATATTTTGTATCCTCATTTTTTCCCCCAAAGGCTATGCCAAACACCAACCGAACAGCTCACTTGAGAGCCTTTCTCTGACCTAAGATGAAACAGAAGAAATGACTCTGAGAATCTACTTCTCAGGCTGAAGAGGAATAAAAATTAAGTTAACCTTCATCAAATAAGGAATTTAAAAATAAAAATGAAATCCCCAAAATCTAGGTAAAATATAAACTCGCCTGTATCACATTACATTAGACCATCCCTAATTAAGCATGACAGTGAAAGCAGTCGGCTTGTAAGACAGGATTTAACTAGAGAGAAAGAAAACATTTCACACCCTTAGACCAACGATACCATCTGTATTGTGCATCTTAAAAAGGTATTTGCTTGTGTATATAAAATGCATATATGTAAAAGCATAATTAGAGCATTTTCACAAAAAAATAGTGAGAAATTGCAAACAGCCTAAATGTTCATCAAGAATGATTAATTAACCACTATTGCATCCATATTAAAAATGACAATGTGGAAATGCAGTTGTTGTTTGAAAAGGCTGTCAAGCAACATCTCTAATTTGAGCCCCTTTTGTGAAAATATTTATTTATATGCCTAGTAAAATTTCTACATATGCATAAATATGTAATCGTGGATATTATTGGATAATATGATTTACTCCTGTATATATGCATGCACGCATTTATATATGTGAAATGAGTGGGTGTATGTGGCATAAAAATTGTTAGAAGCTTCCAAAATTTAAAAATAAAATATATTTTTTCTCTCCCTCTTTTTACTTGTGGCTTTAGTTCAAATTTTCTCTAGGAAATGTATTTTTTTCTCAACTAGCCAGTATAATCCTTGGTGGTGGGCAGGAGAGGGGGAACTGACTTTAATATTTTCCTATGCCAAGAACTAAATTCTTTGAGTAGAGAGTTACATTTCACTATTTGCTACCTTTCATAGGAATGTTCAGTAAAGACCAGTTCACTGATGATGGTCTGGTTTCCTCAAGGTCTGCTTGGAAGTTTGATATAAAACCATCACTCCTTAACTAGCTGAAATAATGAAAAATAAATAAATAAAAATTTAAAAATGGCTAGGGTTTGCACCGTTCAGCTATGAGAGCATGGCAGCTATATAACAGCTGTCATCCTAGTGCTCTCCCAGCCTGAGGTGGATAATCAGTAGCTGGCTGAAGGGGCTGGACACTTCCTGTGTAAATCCTTCCACACAGTGCTCTTGTTCAAGCTGGAGGCCCTTAGACTGGGTTGTTGCCACCGAGTCGGGAGTATCTACCTAGCTCTGCCTCCATGCCAGAACCTCATGTGCCTTCTCAAGAAGTCCCAATGTTGTTAAATAACTAGAGGATGGGTAGCAAAGAAAGATCATAAAGAACTTGGCAGAGAAAAAAGGAGGGGAAAAAGAAGGAAAAAAGAATGGAGATTTATGACCTCAAGTGTAACATGTTGTTCAACACAGCGTAAACCATCCCTTGTACATAATAATACCTACTATGGCACATGAAGTGATGTTGTCACGGAAGTCTACACAGACATTTGTTTCTCAAGGGACCTGTGCCAACTTCAGTAGCTATGCTGGCAGCCCCCCAGTGTAGTGACTTGATTAAGCTCATATAGAGCCTGCCCTTCTAAGTGTATATCATTCCAGGCTTTTTGCAAGAATAAAATGAGGTAATAGATGAAAATATGTTTTATGAACTATGAAATAATATACAATTGCTCAGTATTCTTTTAGTAACAATTCTGAAAGCATTCACAGTGATTTAATGTTGTTCAGCGGTGTCTTCAGGGGACTATCGAAGAGATTTTAAACACCTTTATATAAAGAAAGTGAAATTCATTTACAGTCTGCAGATATTTGAGAAGGAAGAAAATGACTGACTAGGAGAGACCTAAATCATGTGTGTCTGGGGAGTGACTGTCTCCTAACTGTATTAGAAAAACTTTGAATTTTCTGAATGCCTTCAATTCAATTGTTTTCCTTAGAAGCCATTCCAAGAAAATGCATGTGATTTCGCTGTCAATGAAATTATTGACAGTCCTTGTGAAGTATCCATTAACATGGTGAATTATAATGGGAGTTGATGGAAAACCCACATGAGTGTATTGTGATCACACCCTCTATGAAACTAACAAATAATAAGGAAGTGATTAAAAAGTAAACTGCTACCATGCTGCTCCTCCCATGAAAAAACAACATTTGTTTTCCTTCCAGCTTCAACACGTTGGAACTTCACGTCAGCTCCTCAGCTGAACGCGTGACTCTGCAACCTCAGGACTTGCAGGATTAAGAAAATGCCGTCCTAAGGTTGTTGAGTTGTGCGTTTCTGGACATTTCGTCTCTATGGAGAAATACTCATTCCTTCACTCTGAAAACATACCTGGGGAATTGATCATTGGGAACTATCTTGCCAAAAGCTTGACTCCTAACTGTGGGACTCACTCAAATTTGCAGTGCTTGGGGGCTTTCTCCTGCTGACATCTTAGAGATAAACATTTTCTGTTAATTTCCAGTGACTTAATGTTCTATTTTCTTTTTCAAATAGGTCCAGTTAAAAACAAGAAAAAGGGTAAGTTAAGCTCCTGATTTTATAAAATTGTTCTCACAGGGACTTGGGTCACATCTTTTTTTTTATTATTATTAGAAGAAAAAAAATCAAGGAAGTAGCATGTGTGTACTATATGCTTCAACAGTGGTTGCCCATTATTTATCCAATCATATGGGACCTGCTTCAATATTTAGGTTTCAGAAGAACACATCTCTAGCAACACATAAAAGTTGTTTTTGTTTCTCATTCTTGCTCCCTCTGCTATACAATTCCATTTACACCTGTCCCTTCATTATTACTCCTTCTGCTGCCCTTAGGTTTTTTTTTTCCTCCATTTTTTCCTCCTTTGTCAAATCAATAATTAGGTGTAAGTAAAGACCCGAGGCAGCCTGTTCTACGTATTGAAAGATGTCAGTACCCTATTTCTTAGTCTAAAAGCAATTGCTATTTAACTTCCCAGATAGCCAAGGAAGGTATTCTTGTTTCATAAAGTCAAAGTCATTTTCTCTGTGATAGACAAACTAGACTGCAGTGTTACCTTGATCTTTTCTGTCTGTTCAACTAGCATTGGGCAGCTTCATTATGTCATTGCTAGGTCAGTAAGTCCCCAATGTACTTGTAGTGGGGACTGATTCAAGATTTTTATGAGTGCTTGATTGCTGGGGAGAAGAGAATTCAAAGACAGAACAGGCTCCAAGTACAAGGCAAGAAATATGATCCAATCCTTAAACTAAAAGAATCAACTTTCAGCTGCTTCTCAGAGAAAGCACTTCAAGTGCCTATTTGCTTCTGGGTTCTGAGTTGGAAAGATAGAGTAAAACTGATGAATTTTTTTCATTGAAATGTTTTAAGTAAAATGACACTGTTTGTGAAGATGTATGGAGTTTTATAATATGAATCATCAACCCCTCATAAGCCCCAAAAGACGGGCATGAGCCAAAGCCTGCCACTTCTCTAGCCAGGGTACTCTGATCCATGAGATATTGTGGTCCAGATGAGAAACGTGTGTCCCTGATGTAAAGCAGCAGAGGAATGGCCTGGTCCCCTGAGGGCTTGAGTTGAGCCAAGTCAGGACAGAGCCAGGGAATCTGAACCAGACAGGAAAAAATTTCTCTGTGGGGACTGGACATTCACCACTAAGCTAGTCTGCCTTTTAAAAAGGTTAACTTGGTTCTTGAGCATGTAATTCTTAATTCTCCTCACATACCCTTAAGACAGAAATTATAACTCAGATCATTGTGTGGCACTACTTACCATCTTGTATATGGGATATTATTGGAAAGAGTGTAATACATAGGCCTTAAACATTTACTCTGGCCAAAAGTAGTTTAGAAGCCAGATTTCCTAGGATACACTGAACAAGCACATGGCTGATGAGGTCAATGGAGTTGTTCACTTAATTTTCACCTTTTAATGAAATTTTCTTCATCCAACCACTCTCTTCATATCCACCACCACCACCACTAAGTTTGGGGCTGTGTTTTCAATATTTGGGCCTTAGTCAAAAGGTTAGGGAAATGTCCCCTAGAAGGAATTATGTATTCTTCCATCTAAGAATGAACAGGATAAGTCTCTAAGCACAAACATCTCTGGGTTTTTGTATTGTGAACTGCTCTGTTAGAAGTAGGGAACTTTCCCCTTAGTCCAAGGGTCAGGTTGAACATGCAGGTTTTGGGGCCTGGCTGTCTGTGACTGTGCGTGTCAGAGAGGCACATTCGCTTAAACCTGAGTGAAGAGAAGCAGAGACAATGAGCTGCAGAACTGGAACACCAGAAGACGTTTCTCTTGAATGCCTTCTAACTTTTTCAAGAGTGAGCATTCTGTTTACACTGAAACCATTATTCTTTTAGGCTGGAGGAGTTTCTGGCTGTAATTCTTGTAAAATTACATTAAGCAATTACAGAAGACACACAGTCTTGAAGCTGAAGTTTGTGTTACCCACAGAATACCCTCTAGCTGGAAGAAATCAGTGTGAGTCCTGGAAGTACTGGGCTACAGGACAGCCTAATGGGCACCATCCTTTGTGTGCACACCACGATGAAAATAAGGAGGGTGCAGCAAACCTCACCAGACCGGGCTAGGGAGGTTTCCTGACTGCCAAGAATAGGCCAGTCCTCCCCACAGAACCTCAGTCTCGGCTGGAAACAGAAATCATCAAGGCCAAGCTCCTCCTTTCACAAATGGCAAATCGAAGGCTCAAGGGGAGGAAGGGATTTGCCCGAAGTGTGTCTGTGGCAGAGCTGAGGCTTACCGCCTTATCTCCTGAGTCCAGATTCATGTTCTTTCCACTACACTAGCTGGAGCTGAAACTTGGGCGCTGAATAAACCTGATTTGGAAGCTTCCAAAATACAAAGGGAGATGGTTTTCCTGCTCAGCATCTTGAAATTGGCTAGATCTGGAAACTGGGGAGATGTAATCTTTAGCTGCAAAGGATAGGGAAAACTAACGCTCAAGCCTCTGGGTCTTTCACACTGCAGGGGCACTTCCTGGGAGAGATGCACTCTGACCCTTCCTTGCTTTTCTGCCCAGGAAAGCGGCCTCACAATGACCCTAGCCTTTTCATTCTCAGCACAGATGTGGTTAGACATGGACAGCCATCACTTTGAGTGGACTTGCGATGAGCATTTGGTTACTGACACATGAAGGTGCTATTCTAAAAGTAGAGCCTGATAGAATGGCATTCTGCTTCAAAATCTGCAGTGAGACTAGAGAGGATTGTGCTCCAAACTAAAAAACTACCTCAGGTGAGGGCATTGTAGCGAAGTCTGGAAAAAGGCTTCTCTTCCTGGGACTTCCACAAAATTGGGAGGTGGCGAGGAAGGGATGAAGAAAACCACTTCCTACCTATTACCACCTGCAGTCCTTGAATGGGGATGTGCAGAGACGAAGTTAACAGGAAGAGGTGGAGTTTTGTTCTAGATCACTGTTGGGGAGGTACTTAACACAACTGCATCCTGTTTGGGGAAAGGTCTAGGGACTGGGATATCAAATAGGAAGGCTGAGATTGTTCTGGAAGAACAAAGAAGAGGAAAGGGGGAGGAGATAGCAGACATGGTTAATGCATTTGCAAATAGGGCCTCTGGGAGAATTCTACCACTTAACCAACAATGCTTGCAAACTGAACTATCTAACCCATCAAAATGGAGGGTGATAGTTGAGTTGATATCTCCAAGCATTTGCAGGTATTGTGTAGCTGATGGTTCTGTGACTGGAGAATTGAAACTGCCACAGTAGGAATTTCAGTTAAATATACTGAAGAACTTCCCAACAGTGAGCAGTGAGGGGTGATAAACATTGCAACATGTTACCCAGGAAGCTTGCAGAATTTCCTTTCCCAGACATTGTTAAAAATAGGGCTTGCAGAGGTCAGCTGAGAAAACAAACCTGCCGCCTGCTCCTCAGGGTTCTATCTTCTCTGCATCCCCTTTCCTGTTTCTCAAGTTCCCTCTCCCTTTTTCCACTGTCTCCTGCCTCTCTCCCTTCCTATCCCTTCTCCACCTCCCAGATCCCTCCCAAATCCTCATTCCCCACTACTACTGCCCCTCTCCGACCTTTGTTTCACGTGTATCTTAATTCCTATTAGAATCTTCCAGGAGATGGCATGGTTCCTGAGGTTGGTCTATCCAGCTTCCTCTTGTTAGCTACAGCAAGTCCACTGAACTGGACAGTAAACATGAAAGCGCCACACTCTTCAACAATAGTCCAGTTCTAAAAATCATCACAGAGTGACCCTTAGGTCAGATTGTTTGGGAGTGCTCAGCCTTTGCACTCAGCTGAAATATCACCTCCTTTTTGAAGTCTTCCTGGCCTCTTCAGCATTTGGGCTCTACCAGTAGTGGAGCATTCCCACAGTCCTGTGACTGTATGTTCCCTCACTCGGCTGAGCTCTTTGAAAGCCATTTGTTTCTAGACCCTCAGCCCCAGCCCTGTAAGTGCATATTCACAAAAGGATATGAGATACTCCAGTTTCTCTTCAGATCGTATAAATCTTTCGCCTATTACAAAAGGGTATGAGGACAGGGGAAAAGAGGGGAGGCAATAAAGGATCTAGCTACTCAGCAGGAATCCCCAGAAGTGGGACTGTGCCATCAGAAGTCTCTTGGTGACACATAACCACAAATGTAACATTGACTCCTATTTTTCAGGAAAGAAGGCAGGGCCCCCTGGGCCCAATGGCCCCCCAGGACCACCAGGACCACCAGGACCCCAGGGGCCCCCAGGGATCCCAGGGATTCCAGGGATTCCAGGAACAACTGTCATGGGACCACCCGGTCCTCCAGGTCCCCCTGGGCCCCAAGGACCTCCTGGCCTCCAGGGACCCTCTGGTGAGTTTCCTCTTGTCTCTCCATTACCTAGGCACCTCACAAGTACATTAGAAGAGTAGGAGTCGGTGACCTTGAGAGCACTTACAGGTTGGCATTCAATAAGCAATGCAGATCTCCTAGCTCAATGTGAAGCTAGGAATTGGACAAGCCAATAGGTCTTGGCCTGCTCTTTTTATTTGTACCAGGCTTCCAAGAGCAACCCACATGTTATTGTCCTATCTTAGCCCTTCTATCACAAGCCTTCCATGATGCTAGGCCTCCCTCTAGTGATCCAGGGACAGCTGCCCGATGGTTCCCTTGGGAGATAGGCTTGGTCTGCTCCGGTTCCCAGCATCTAAGTCACACATACTGATGTTTTCATGGAAACAGGCAGTGGGGAGGAATGTTGAGAACTGACCAAATGACAAACCCATGAACTCTCAAGTGACTTTCCTCATGAGGTAGACAAGTATTCCCTGACAGTCATGGAGCTGGAAACTCAGGAATCATTTAGACTGTGGTTGATACAAATCCAGGCACCAAGGCTCTCCTATCTAAGAACCTAGTGCTGCTTACATTACCTCTTTTAACCCGTCCAACACCACCCATTCAAATACAACTTTATCCCTGTATGTCTTTCTCCTTGGGCCCAGAAGAGCATCCAAAAGGTATAGGTACAGATCCAATTATGCCTATATTTATACAGATCCAAACAGCAGTCAGTCTGCGTGGAATTATATCACTTGTTATTTTCTTTCTCTGCCTCCCCTCCTGTATCTAGGGCTTTAAAGAAATGGATTTTTAAAAGGCTTTGTTTGCTTTGAAACTCAGAGAGGGAGAAAGAGAGAAACAGAGAGAATGAGAGAATATTTCCTCTGCTAGTTTACTCCCCAAACAACCATAACTGCTGGTTGGGGCCAGACTGGAGCTAGAAGTCAGAAGCCAGGAACCAGGAACTTCTTCCAGTTCTCCCACTGGGTAGCAGGGGCCAAAGTACTTGGGGGCATCATCAGCCTCCTTTCCAGGCCATCAGCAGGGAGCTGGATCAGAAGTGGAGCTCCCAGGACATGAACCGGCACTGGTATATGGGATGTTGGCATCTCAGGTGGTGGTTTTACCTCACTGCACCTCAGCACGAGCCCCAGAAATGGACTATACAGCTGGACCCTTTAGGTCCCAGAATTCTGCAGTAGGATTCAAATTCTTTCACTGGTAATTCAAACAGTACTAAGCATTGTTACCATGGCCACAAGAGACAGAGTTTCCGGATTTTTTAATCCAATCTTCTGCAACTATTAATTGAACACTTTCTGTGTACAAAGAGATCTATGGATAAGTGGTCTCCATTCTCATAGACCGTATGTCCTCAAGGAGAGAGACAAAGAAACAACATATTCATGAATGACAGTGTACTCTATGAAGAGAGTGGGAACAAAAAGCTAGCGAAACAGGTGCCAGTGCCATTTTCTCAGGGACAAACAGTGATAGGAATGCCCCCCTATTGCCCTCCATGGGGGCTCAGTGAGGCTTGCCTTAGGCCAGGATTGGCAAGAGGCCAGTTTCCTTGCCAGACACTGGTTCCACTGAAGATGAAGGTCAGGAATAGGAAAGAGAAAGAAGATGTGTCCTAACCTTCCCCGCCCTTCCTCCCGCTGCCACCCCACCCCCACCCTACAATGTCCTGAGACTCTCCCTCTCACTCTCCCTCCCCCTCCAGGGAGGCTCCAGAATGAGGCTCCCTCCCGACAATTTCTGAAACAAGGGGAGAGGGGAGTAGGAAGAGCTGCCCTCTGATTGGCCTGTCCTATTTTGCAGGTGCTGCCGATAAAGCTGGATCTCGAGAAAACCAGGTTGGCTGGGGGTAGGAATGACTGTGTTTGGGAGGAGGGAAGCCCACAGCCTAGAGGCACTTTTAAATGAGGTCCCCAGTAAGTTTCCCAAGGCTTTATTTTTTGAGGACACCCTGGAGGTTCTGAGGTTTTTCCTTCACAGCCCTCCTCCCTCCCCTCTCTCTGAATAGAAAAACCTCACCCCTGGGCTTGCCTATAGCTAAGGAGCCCCAGTCTTGCCAGGACCACTTGTCCTCATTCCACAGGACACAGAAGTTCACCACCACAGCTGCCAGGCACAATAGTCAGCTGAAATGAGCTGCTCGCCAGGCCCATTCACCTATGCCTGGGACTCCCTGGCCACCCGAGACATCCTGTCGGCACTCAGCCGCCCTGCCATCGGGAGCTTGGAGGTTTCAGAGAATGTCCTTGAAAACTGGCCAAGCAGCTCCAGGCCAAGCCCAGACTGGGCTCCTGCCCGAGTGACCTGAAGGGCTCCTCCAGAGTCTTGGAGCTTCCTAATCTGTCCCTCTTGGCATGTTCTACTGCCTTCGTTGTCTGTCTCATGGCAGCTGCCCTCACTACAGCTGTTTGGCCAGAATGATCAATCCTCACAGCTGCACAGTGCTCACTAGCTGGTAGGGCTATCTCATGCTCATCACCTCATTTGATCTTCAGACAGGGATCTTCATAATCCCCATTCGACGGTTGGGAACTGAAGCTCAGAGGCATTAGATTCACCTGAGGTCACCAGGCTGGGAAGTGGCAAAGCTAGACTAATAATGTCCTGGAGTAGAAACGGAGTGACCAACATCCCCAAATAGGGGAGAGGCGTAAGAAATGGGATAGAAAAGGAGTCTAGAAACTAAGGATAGGGATTTGGGAAACTGGTTGAGCCCGCAGCCAGCACTCCCAGTGACCATCTCTCTCCTTATCCTCCCAGCCAGCTGTGGTGCATCTACAGGGCCAAGGTTCGGCCATCCAAGTCAAGAATGGTAAGAATCAAAGTGGTCTCTTCCTAACCCAAGCATCCCCCAGCCACCGCCAGCATGCAGATGCTCAGCTAGCTTAGTTCCTCCCAGGCTCCTAAGGTATCCTTGGCACAAAGGAGCAGTCTCTACTCCATGGTGCCCTCTACTGGCTGTTCTGAGTAATTGCTTCCACCCTCTACAGTTGTTTAGTCTCACTGATGGGGGATCTGAGACATCACCAACCCCAGGGATCTTGGGGGATGGAGGTTATGTCAAGAGTTGCCATGGCGATATATATAGTTGAATAAGCAAAATGCAAATTAGATAAGGTAAAAACTACAGAAACTTGCATTCTTCTTGTTGAATGGATCTACTTAGACAGTCAGTGGGTGGTGTGTTTTTCTCAGGGAAGGTGGAGGGTGGAACATGTTAGAAGCTCCAAGGAGTATGAGATGCTAGTGTCCAGGAAAAGGGAGAATGTGTTGACTGAGATGGAGCAACACTGACTTAATGTAGTCCCTGAATTTCAAAGCTGAGGAAACTGAGTCCCAAAGAGATTAGATGACATCATGGTCAATCATGTGCCTTCTGGGTATATGGCATGGCAGAACTGCCCACATGCTTCCCTCTTGATTGATTTCATTTGCCAGTTACAGCCACCCTGTGAGGTAGGTAAGATACAAAGCTGGAAACTGAAGCTCAGAGGAGGTCATGAACTGGCCAATAAATCATAGTTCAGTTCACAAGGTAGGCTTCACAACTATCTTTCTGACTCCTTTCTCTGCATTGTACTACTTCAGCAATGTGTGTGCACACCTCACTGAAGGGTTACATTTATTTTCTTCCCCAAAGAGAAATGAACATTCATTACAGAACAGGGCTTTAAAATAATGTCCAGTCCCCAGGGTGCTCAGAGCCTAAAATGCATGAGCCCCAGGAACCTTAGGAAGTAGCAAGCTAGCCAAGATGCCAGATGCTCACAAAGTTCAGAGGGAAGGGAGGGAGGGGCCGTGACAGTGGCAGTGGCGGATGGAGGCTAAGAAACCTGTTCGGTTGGTTCAGCCTCCAGGAGCCCAATCTCCTGACCAGTCACACCTAGCCACTCTCCTAATTGGCACCTGCAGCCCTGATTGAACAATCTAAAGAGTGCAAATCAGAACAGAACAACACCAAAACCCAAGAAGCAGTCCTGCTGGGGACCAGGTGTCATAGGCTCCAGGGCCCTGGGTGGGCCTTCATCACCATCTGTCCAGAGAGGCCTGGAGTAGGCAGGAAATAAATTTGTTTGGGCGTCCTTTGGGGTAGGTGGCCTTAGGGTTTATTCGGAGGCAATAACTACAAATTTTAGTGCCAGTACTCCACATCCAGCCCCTCTGGGCCAATTGCCAGTGGCAGTATGTGCTGACCTTTAGTGCTAGCAAAAGCAGCAGTGAAGGCAGGGGGTGAGTGGGGAAGGCCTGCAGAGCCATTCTTTGAACAGCTGGAGTCTGAGCATCTCTTCCTGACTCCCATCCCATCAACTTACCACCTCAGGGAGCAATGGCTGCCATCTCTAGAAGCCCCCTCACACCTCAGAGAGCCAGGCCTCCTGTAACTGGCCAAGGATGAAGAGCTCAAATGTAATTTCTCAACTGAAGTTGGGATGACTTGAAAGGAAAAAAGCCCTGTGGGATTGGCCTCATTCCTCTCAAAGTGAAAAGGAGCATCTCTCTTTCTGCAGAACAAAAAGCAAAGTCTTTCTCCACCACCACACTGTCAAATCAAAGCATCATGACTGCAGCACCGCCTCCCAACCCCAGTGTGTGACTGGGGTGGGGCAAGGAGTCAGGTGCTTTGCAAAAGGTGCCTCCGCTCCCAGACACCCTCCAGTAGCTTCATGGTGTGTCCTGGGGAAGCCTGGCAGTCTCCCCTCCATGTTCTCATAATATGCCTTCTCACCTGTGGGGTGAACAGCTCTGGCTGCCACACAATCTGAATTACCCCTAAGGCTCTCCAATCACACAGCTTGGAGGCTTTCCAGAGATGACCAAATGGAGGAACCATAAAAAGGAAACTCGAGGAGAAGAAGAAATCCCGTGGAAGTTTGAGACAGAAGAGGGATTAGGAAAGTAAACCTTCATAGGAAGACTTAGCCTGCCACTCAGTGTCCGGATTTTGCCTGTGCAGACATATAATAACAAAGATAATAGAGAGGTAGTACTCTCTTGTTACACACCCTCCCCACCTCCCAGTACAGTAACAAGTTCCATCTAGAAGTGTTGGTTGAAGACCTTTGCAGATGGAAGGGTCCAGAAAGAAGGGATGAAGACAGATCCACATCAGGAGCCCTGAGACAGGCCTATTCTAGCTTGACCGCTTGACCTGGGCAGAGTGGACTGGGGGGAGTACTGCTTAGCGTTTCTTATTTCTGTTGTCCAGATTATTCTGACATGTACTGAGTGACTACCCTTCTCTCATACTGAGATCTTTCAGGTGGAGTGCTCAATGACTGGTCTCGCATCACCATGAACCCCAAGGTGTTTAAGCTACATCCCCGCAGCGGGGAGCTGGAGGTACTGGTGGACGGCACCTACTTCATCTATAGTCAGGTAGAAGTGAGTACGGTCTTAGGCCTAACTCTTCTTATATCCAGAATGCAGATCCGGTGCAGACCACATAGGGGCACTGTGGAGCCAGCCAAGACCAACCAATGGCTAACTTCCTACTTCCCAGAGTGGAGGGCTTGAGGTCATAGGGAGGGAATTGAAAGGGTGGAGGGAGGGAAAGGATGGTCAATTTGGTGTTTTTGTTTTGTTTTGTTTTGGGTTTTTTTTTTCCCTAGACAAATATCATTGCAAAACTGAAAATGGTCCTCTGGGCACAGGGTCATAGGCCCTTGTTTCCCCTCTTAGCTGTTTACAGTCATACTTGAACTTGTTTTCAGCATATTTCTTGAAAGTCAGTTTCAGGGCTGCTGAAAACCCCTTCCCCAACTCTACTAGCTTGGGCATCAGAATGAATAGTACTCTTGTGAAATTTCTCTTCACCTCAAAAAGATTTCTGACTGTCTTTCCTTTCTTTTTCTCCCATTTATTTCTCTGTCTTTGTTTTTCTAGCCTTCCTGCTTCCTTCCTGCTGTCCTTCTCCCAGCCCTCTCTCCCTCCAGTTTTGCTCTTTCCCAGCCCTGGGCCCACTCCCCAGGCTGCCAGTGTCTGGCCGCTTCCATGCCCCATCCCCATTGTCTGCCTCCCCTGGGCTGACTCCTCAGAACTAGAAGTAGATGAGTCTTGAGGTTGGGGCTTCTGTGGGGTAGGCAGCAAGCAGATGCGTGGACACAAAGGACCACAGAACTAACAGATGTGTCTTACAGGACAGGGACAGAGAGATAAGTTGACTGATATTTACTGGGGACACATCCTGGCACAACCCAGGTCTTACTCAAGAGATTAAATGGTCCCTGAATACATTGATCTCACCTGAAGGGAGTGACCTTTTGTTAAGTGAAGACTGAAGGTCCCCACCATTATGGGACACAGGCTATAACTCCGATGTCCTATAAGCTAAGCCCTATTTGGTGATAATGAGCAATCAGCAACTGGGGTGGGCTGTGTAGATAAGAGTAGGTAAGGATGGAAAAGAAAAGGACTTCTCTGGGACTAGGAAAGCCCTCAAAATGCCAAGCCATAATGAGCTTAAGCCACTGCCTCCTTCTGGTCTCAAAGGGGGAAGTAAGTTAGGGATCTGGGTTTCCCCCTTTCAGATTCTCTGTCTCATTTGTAGCGGATAGCTCTCCACCTCTCTAGATCTGTTTCTTTAGCCATCAAGTAAGAGGGCCGAGGGGCCCAGAGAAGTTCAGTGCCCTCTCTTGGAGGGGCAGAGTTCTGCAGGCTGAGTGAGCCTCAGTTACAGAGCTGAGGAGACGGCCAGCTATAGCTATGGCCTTTCTGGGGAATCAAATGATTCATATGTTGATCCCCAAATGGTGCTTGGGCCTTGAGATGGGAAATTAGTGTCTGTAGCACTGATGTATGCAGAGCACTGTGCTTCATGCCAGAGCTGGGGCAGGCAGGAGGTGGGAAGGTGATGGGGTGCAGATGGCATGGTTCTTGTCCACCTCCTCACCCCAGGGTCCATGACAGGTGTGCTGTTGTAAGACAGGTCTACTCAGCCACCTGAGTCCCATGGAGCATGGGTAGGATGACCCATAAGCCATCACCCTGCCGTTCCTGTTGGCCAACTAGCACACCTTCAGGTGGCACTGCCCCCCCCTGCCACAAGGCATCCTGGCAGATCATTGGAGAAGGTTCTGTCTGTTCGCCACAAGGGAGGGCCCCCCACCCTCTTTCCTCTCTTCCCCAATCCCTTCTCGTTGCCTCTCACCCAGGTATACTACATCAACTTCACTGACTTTGCCAGCTATGAGGTGGTGGTGGATGAGAAGCCCTTCCTGCAGTGTACCCGTAGCATCGAGACAGGCAAGACCAACTACAACACTTGCTATACGGCAGGCGTCTGCCTCCTCAAAGCCCGGCAGAAGATCGCCGTGAAGATGGTGCACGCTGACATCTCTATCAATATGAGCAAGCACACCACCTTTTTTGGGGCCATCAGGCTGGGCGAAGCCCCTGCCTCGTAGATTTCCCCCGTCTTGCCCCTGCCCGTGCCCCTGCCCCACGTGGAGGAGCCGGGACTCCCAGAACCTCTTAAGTGCTGCTGTGGCATTGCAGTCTCAGAGAGAAGGGCCCCAGTGCTATTTATTCCCCCAGTGACTCCAGGATGACAAGGCTGCTTGACTTGCCAGCGTGACCTTGAGCTAACAAGACGCTGGATGGAGACACAGGGTTTCCAGAAAACACAACTTTTCACCTTTGGCTCCTCGTTCATGGCCCGACTCTTCTGCCCTAAGATCCCTGTTGTCAGAGCTGTCATTGGTTGCACTAAGAATCATGGGCAGCAGGCCAGAGAAAGCAAATGCATGCTCCAGACTCTGCCCGGGGTGACCTCAGACCCCAGGGAGCTGATGCTCTTCCTCTGGCAGGGGATGGAGGTGAGGTGGCACAGGAAGCCAGTGTTGTAGCCTAAGGAGCGGGCCTGGGAGGGAAGAGGCAGGTGTTTACTACAGAGATGGAGGAAGAAACCTGCCAAGGGGCCGTCCTTCCATGGTGGGAGCTTTCCTGCTGCTCCCTGTTGTGGCCTGCAAGAGAGCTGAAGAACCCTTCGCCGTCAGGCTGAGGGCCCCACTATGACAGCCTGATGGGCTCTGGAGGTGGGAGGTCTCGCTACCTTGGGACCATCGCAGGGAATGACCATACACCTGCCTGCCTTGAGCACCTGACTCTGCACCTCCAGACTGGGGGCCATGCATCTCTCACTTTGTTTACAGCTGGGCCGCATACTCAGAAAACCCCCTGGGCTCCCATCCCCAGCCTGACTGGAACTCCTGTCTTCTTTCTCCACAGAGCCTACCTCTGTCTGAGACAGGTGCCTAATGTAGGACCTGTGCTCATGTGAGTCTGGAATATTCTTTAGCTTCCCTGGGGATACAGAGAATTCACTTTCCACAGAATTAAGCTATGCAAATATTCACCTGATCCTAATGGAATCATGTCTGGTGGCGGGGGAAGGATTGGGCCAGGTGATTCCTGGCAGCACCTTCAATTTCTGACATCTATAACTCAGAATGGATGCTTGTCAAGACTGCCTTCCTAAGTTCCCCAGCCCCGGGTTGAGCATCAAACAAGGCAGAGCCCAGAAAAGGCAAGCAGTTTGTTGTTCAAGTTTGCTGCAGTCCAAATGGTTATTGAACCTAGTGTTATCTGCCAGAACATCAGCGGACGCTCTGCTGCCCCAGTCTTCCTTCATTCTGGCTCAGGAGAAGCTGGGCTTTGCACTCACGTTCAAGTCCAAAGGCACTGGTCCCAGACTGCCCACTGGATCATATGGTGGGATCATGCGTGAGCTTTACTTCTAATGGCCAAGGCCCCACCTGCCCTCTAAGTGTTAGGTGCAGCCTTAGAAGCTTGGAAGGCCAGCCTGGTACACTTCACTCATGTTGTCCCTCATGCACACCTCTTCTCGAAATGCATTTCTTTGTGAAATATGTGTCATTTTAACATGATAGGAAATCTGCTCCTCCACCAAGAATGGCAAATAACTTAGTTCTCAGTTTTGTCTTCCGTTTCAAAGCAGCCATATTCCTTGGCCCTTCAAGGGAAAGGATTAGGTGGGTGGAAGAGGGTAGCAAGGCAAAGGGGTGGTTCCTGCTGTATGGGTGCTAATGCAAGTCTTGCAGCCCGAAGTGAGGCAAACTTTAGATACGGATGTGACCCCCTACACACACTCCTATTAAGTACCTGAGACAGTCTACAGTTGTAAAAGGAACCAAAGAGAACCCCTGCTTAAAGTCTGAAAAGTACCTTCCCCTTTGTGATCTCCTTTGAAGAAGGCAGGGCAATGAGCATTATAGATGACATTGTTTCAGTGAGGCTCCAAGAGGAGGAGTGCTTTGGCCAATGTCTCACCCAGTTCAAGTCACAGCTCTAGAACTGCAGCTGGGTCTGACTCCAAAACTATTCCCTTACACCACCGTGTTGTATGCCATTGGAGATCCACCAAACATCCATAAAGTGGTCAAATGCAAGTGAAATTTCTTGGAGAGGGTCCCGAAGAGGAACCCAGAGACACTCACTTTCATTCCCTAATGAGTATGCCAGTAATCTTGGCTGCCACGTGCTCTCATGTCCTGAAGAATCTTCTTAGAGGTACCATGTCCAAGCAGCAGGCATCTGGCACCCACAGAGCTGGTAGCCCTCATGTTGTTCCATGCATCTGATGAGCCAAGCAGCCATCCTGTGTGAGCCGCAACAGTGGGCATCGTCCCCATTTTGTTTCCCTGCAGACAGCTCACAGGAGCCAGCCACCTCCAGAGCTGCTAAATATTAAATAAGCTAAACGCTTATCCCTGCCTAGCATACCACAGACAGTTTTATGCTGATGGGGCCCATGGGGATCAGAGAAACGTCCTGAGTCAGGGCTGGGTGTGAGGCCCAAAGGCTGTGCAGAAAGAGGAGTGAAAGGCTTCCTAACCAGGCCCCTGCGGGGTCATCTGTAATCCATCCTATCCTGCAGACACACAGGGGATTAGAGGAGAAAGAAAATTCCCACCAGATCCTTCATGAACTCACAAGCCTGGAGGAAGAAGGGTGGTAAGAAAAGTTGGGGAACACTCTTGCTACCAAGGCATTGCCACAGTGGTGGAGCAATCTACTGATAAAAAGGACGTGGGGATAGATGCAACTGTCTGGTGTTAGGCTTATGAGAGTTTACCAGAGGGCCACACTAATATGGAGCACAAGCCAAGGCCATCTGTGGGCAAGCAGATGACGGGTTTGTGGGAGAATTGCACAGCAGAGGCCTCTGCCAGCTTGCCTGGGCTCCAGTAGCCAAGTGGACACAATCGGCAGCTGTCAGAGGCTCCTGGGCTGCCTGGAGCATGCGCCCTGTGTCTTCTTTTTCCCCTTCATCCATCCTGAGCCAAATGCCATGCTGAACAGGAAAAGGGCTGGGAACCCTGGGGGTAAACAAAGACTTTGATCTGTGTGTGGTTTACATAACTTCTGGGGAGTACAAACAGATTCAGAGACATTTAGAGCTCAAGAGCCTTTAGAGAACCTAGACCAATCTAAATTCCCGAGTGTGATACTCATGTGGAAACTGAGGCCCATGGAGGGCAGGTGACCTGCCCAAGGTTCTGATCAATCCCTGACCTTCAGATTCAGCAGAGTGAAGGGGGCAATAGTCCCCTATCCCACAGGGTCCCCTTGTTTCTTCCACCCCCAGACTCAAGGCTGGGAGCCCCTGGTCCCCTTTAGGAACCTGGCCAGGCAGGAAGAGAGTAACTGCAACCTTCAGCAGGACTCTTTCTCCCCAGCTCTTGATTCCAGATCTACAAGGCTCCAGACTGGCCCAGTCCCAGGAAGTGCTTAGGCCACCCTCACGTTGCTCAGGCCCCATCCTGCCTTGGGGACTCCCCTAGACTACATGAGCTTGGAGAAGACTCCTGATGTGTTGTTGCTGTTCTTGTTCTTTTAGTCCATTTCAGGGTTCTCTCCAGGAGGGGACGGGGTGTGTCATTTCTCTATTCCGAAAGCTTTCCCGCTGGGATGGGGAGGGGTGGGGGCCTTGCTGTGAGAATGGCCTAGAGCAGGGCCAATGCTGCTTTGGGAGGTCAGCATCCAGTGTGAGATACTGTGTACATAAACTATATATAATGTATATAAACTGGGATGTAAGTTTATGTAAATTAATGGTTTATTCTTTGCAAATAAAATCGCTTTTACCCCTCTTGTTCTTGAAATTGGCCTAAGGACTTCCTGCACCTTAGGTGCTTCTTGGCAAATGAGGTAGGAGGACAGTCGTATCAGAGGGACCCACAGAAGGAAGGTAGAGTGGATCTCTTCACGTCCTCTCCCTAGAGTCCACCCTGCACTCTCCCATGCACAGGTCTTCTCCTGGAAGCCTAAGGCCAGGAGGTTAGATCATGACCTACCAAGAGGTACACTGGGGACACAGTGTAAGGTCACCCTCAGCTTGGGAGACTGTGACATCTAACAGGTGTTTCAGGCCTTGGCCGCAAACAGCTCAGATCACTCCTGCCTCCAGCTTCTCAGAAAGGCCATCACCCCCTTTCTGCAGATGGAGATACCACTGCTCAAAGAATCTCAGTCCCCTCCTTTCCCCACCTTATGATCGGTGTCATGAATTGCTCATTTTCTGACAGTCCTATCTCTTCTCAAGAAAAAAAAAATACTATACAAGTGTGGATGTCTCTGATGTCTGCATTTGAAGTGCAGGTTTGCAAAATGTCAAAAAATTCTTAACATTTTAAAAATAAGCTAACGAAGAAGATTTAAGAGAGAGGAAGAGAACTTCAGTAGCTTTCATCCAAGATCACCCAACTGCTAGGTATGTCTAATGACATTCCCAGGCCAGATAGTATTTATCCTACACAGCTGGCTCCTCCACTTCTCCCCATGCTGTCTGGTGTAGGAAAACCGCCATGGAGGCCGCACTTCAGGAAGACACTCTCAGGGCAGCTCAAGAGGGTTCTGGGAACTTCATGCAGCAGCCGTCACCCCCTGTGTACAGGGGCATAATGTGACACATCAGCAGCAATGCACACACAGAGGCCCTTGATTAGTCTGCGCTGACCATGTGTACATGGGTAGGTGTTGGAGCCAGGCTGGTCCTCGCTGGTCCTCTGGCTGCCTTGGTGTTTTTTTGTTTGTTCGTTTCTTTGTTGAAATCAGCCCCAAGACGCCTGGAATCTGCTTGCACAACTCTTAAAGGAGTTCAGGGAGAATGTGATCTCTGGTGGAAGAACTAAAAACCAGCCTGAAAGTGGAAGTGTGGCTTTGCCCCACTGTTCAGAAATTCTCACAGGGCAGAGGCAGCAGAACATGCTATATAAATACTCAAGATGGACCTGGCACAGTTACCTAGTGGCTAAATCTTCGCTTTGTATGAGCCGGGATCCCAGCTGCTCCACTTCCCATCCAGCTCCCTGCTTGTGGCCTGGGAAAGTAGTCAAGTACGGCTCAAAGCTTTGGGACCCTGCACACATGTGAGACACCAGGAAGAAGCTCCTGGCTCCTGGCTTCAGATCAGCTCAGCTCCAGCCATTGAGGCTACTTGGAGAGTGAACCAGTGGATGGAAGATCTTCCTGTGTCTCTCCTCTCTGTAAATCTGCCTTTCCAATAGAAATAAAATAAATATTTAAAAAA